TAATAATTATTCATAATTTGCATTATGGCATATATAGCATATAAGATTGCTTAAGACAATTTTTTGCACTCAAATATGTTTCTAAAGATGTATAAACTTTACATTTTTATAAATTAACATGATTTTCTATGAATATTAGTTTCATTTACTTTGCGTGATATCGTATTCATCATTAGACTCTCTTTGTTATAATACAACAATAATTATATTTCTATAATAATAAATATTCTTGTCGATAATACAAAAAACGCATTTTCAATGTAATCACAGAACCTGTTAGTTTAATCTTTTATTCCTACTCAGTCTACAAACAAAAGTTTCATTATACAATTATACTAACCAATATTAATTCATGGCAGTGGTGGTAGTAGTAGTAGTAGTAGTAATAAATTTGCAATGTTTTTTTGACGATAGTGCAGCCTAATTAAATGTATAGAATTTACAAAGCAAATCTGTTAATCATTTTTTATGTAGAAGGCTAACAATTATATTGGTGTCTATGGCTAAAATGTTCTAGACGTTCTGAGTATAGTATTATATAAGAGACTTTTGAGCATTATTAGTTTTTTGGTACAGCGGTTACTGTTATTAAATAGGTATTTTAATGGATATCTCATGACGAATATTATTTGTTTCTATTGGATTTCGTTTTTTATAAATTTTGTTTGGTGATATTTTCTCTCGATACTAGTCAGTAAGTCGATTTTAGGTCTATCACTTGCATCATTTCATTTTTCAGGAGTTTCTTTCTTTTTATCTTGTATTACTTGGTATTACGTTATTTTATTTTTTGTAATTTTTGAAATTTTACAAATGCATTTTATTCTTTCTTAGATTTGTAAAGTTAGTGTTAGTTATTATAATGTTTATTCGATTTAGAAGCTACACGTGTGATAAATTTTTACCCACTTCAGAGTATTATGAATCTGAGTATCCATTTGGTTATCACGAAGGCAGAGAGATTTTACATATTTTTTATTGGTTTTCAAAGTATATAAGTGTCACCTATAATTTAAGAAAAATCGAATGAGTATCTGGTATATAAAGAAAGGATTATGTTTTATCTTAAGATCAATGTTAAAAAGTGACAATTTCACAATTTGTATTTGTTATCAACGTATTAAATATGTCGTCTAAATATAACGTTTTAGCGCAATAGTTAATTTAGATACCTGTCATTATGGCTAGTATTTTTTCGTTAATGAAAATAAACTATTAAAAAAAATGTTTCCATCTTATTAATTATTTATTTACAAATTTGACTGTATTTAAAAATTAGATTAAATCCGCCAGTTTACTGGTAGGAGAAAAGTGTAGATAAGTGGAGGGGTAGCGTATTAATTCGATATTTAACACATCTGCTTTTCGTACTGTTTATTGCATGTTATTTTACAAACTACACTATAATGATTCTAAGTCTATGATGAGAATCTTTGAGATCTTGCAGTACCGCGGTGGTTGCTACGTGGTGTTAGCATGCACTACGTGTAGAGATAGGAGATAGTAAATATCCGGATCCTCTTGACGTACTGCGCTTGGTGGTAAATGACTACACTGAGAAGTAAGAGGTCGTAAATCTCTTGAGACTTCTTCGTGTAGTGTCACATAGTGGTAACTTGATTGTCATCTCCTCCTTGAGAAAGCGCGTGGTGACATTGAATGATAAAGGAATGCAACATCTTTGTGCTCGGGAAGCTTCTGTATGACTTAGGAAGGTTTAACGCAATTTCGAATAGACTGCTTGAGCTTGATGAACCTTTACATAAATTTTTTAGACGAATTATTTATCTCGTTGAGTTATTTCGGATACTCATGATTTGTTATAACTGGAAAATGATATAACTAGGAAATGATAACTGGTATATTAAATAGGTATAGAAAGAAAGTAACATAACTCATATTCATTATTGTAATATATTATCAATTTTTATTTAACTTAACGGTTATAATAAAATTGACTTATTATAGAAATGTGAAAATTCATTTTTCTGTTATTATATCATTATCATTTTTTAAATAACAATTTCAATCCATATAGAGTAGCATTTTAATCAAAGTCGCTCTACAATTTCGAAATCTCTGCATGGTAGATAATTTTCTGTTGGAAAATGGAAATACGTCGGTGGAAGATGATAACCTTACGAAATGCCTTATTTTATCTTTTTTTTTGCTTAGACCACCACGGTAAGAGCAATACATAAGCTGTCAGTCTTACCAATCCCCGACCATAAGGAATAATCATCAATGGATCACCATTACCAAAGAGTATCTGCATCATTGCGAAGGAATAGAGTTCATACTCTCCTATGAGAAGTGAATTCAGCTCATCAGTAATGTAATTGTTGATAAACCATATGATAATGGAATCTGCACTTACTGTATATTTCTACAGCCCTTCCACTTAACTCCTTCCCAGCATATTATAAACCAGCATATTATATCGAAACATTGGCAGTTTAAGCCAGGATATAAAACAGTTTCGAACACATTTGAAATTTTTAAGGTTATATGTAATTCCGCATTAAAACATCTTCTACTTCCTCATTTTCCTGATAAATATTGTTTAATTATAGATATTAATAAAAACACATTTTTGGATGTAATTAACATTTTCTACAATATTAATTAATTATACCATTTAAAATAAACTTTAAAATAAATATTAATTAATATTCTTTTTATATTCTTAATAGCCAAAGAAAATATTAGTCACTAGTAGGTAAGCTACTTATCAATTTATTAATACTTGTACAAAATTAAGCCTTTTATATAACTGATTATTCACACTCTTATTAATGATGATGGATGTGCTATATCAATAATAGCATCATGCTAATCTTGTATGGGTTAGCAATGATTTATGCCTTACAATTGGATTACTCACAGAGAAAAAGTAACCTTGACTATTCTGTGTTGAACCTAGCACCAATCCGGATGATCCATGTGGATGAATTGTTTTACCATCCCGAATTCACTATGTGGATGATTTGGTTCAGCATTTCGGATGCTCCGTGTAGATGAATTAACTGTGGTTGTAGTCTGGTACTTTCTTGATTTGAAGGGAATAGTGTTAACTCCTTTATCTTGCAGCACAGGAGAACAGACGCGTCTTCCTTCCTCGGTGATCTTACCTTGGGAATGTATGGCGAATAGCTAGCTAAAGTAATTATAAGCTAAAGTAAATTATATAGCTAGTAATTATAAGCGCTGTCTCGTTTTGTGCCTGTTTGAAATATCCACGTGGCAGCTGACTTAGCTGGCAACAATGCATAGGTGTTGCTATGCGGAAAACATTGCAGAATCTTCGAGTCTAATGCGTTAGAAGTTTCAGGGATTCCGGGAAAGCAAAGCTTTAGAAGGTAGGAGAATTCCAACCGAGGTTGTTATGCGGAGACCAAATAAACATTATGGGACGCCCGAAGATAAAGCTTTGGAATAGTCGAGAATTCTCAGAGTTAAATGTTTACAAAATCAGAGAGCTAGAAGGCTCATGCATTTTTGAAAGCCTAAGTTTTTGAAAATGCTCCAATTCCGAACACTATTAAAATAAAATATTAAATCTGATGTATATAACATAAAACTGTTGTAATCGTTATATTTATTTACCATTTATGTCTTTTTAAATAAGTGTAAAACCAATTTAAATTTTCTGTTAAAAATAAGGTTTACATATTTTATATATTGTATACATATGATATATAATATATTTTATATAGAATACAATATAAATTATATAATACTTTTAATACAAATGCAATAAATGTTATATCCACATAAAAATTGTTATCATGACACTTCTAATTCCTAATTTAGATCAGTATATATAATTTTTTGTCTAATTTTTCTTGTAATTGTGAGAATAAAAATATAATATATATAAATTTAATATCATAACTTTGATATAAAGATGTGATGTTTAAAAAAAATTGATTATTAAGAATAATCTCATTCATCACATAAGCAGTCAATATAATCTTAAAGTACTTCATTTAAAGAATTTTTTAAAAATTTTTTTAATAATCGAGAAATTTCTTAAAAACATTTATTGTTTCTTTGTTTTATAATTATTATACTATTATCTACAAATAAAACTATTTGAATATCTATTTTTTGTTTATTGATTATCTTTAGTGTCTTTTGACAAAAAATTTATTGAATGAACCTAAAACATGATATATAAATATAAATATTAAAAAGTTCGTGATTCAATTATTGGAATAATATTTTATTTTATTTAATCTTTTATAATTATTAATTATAAGGAAGAAAATGAAATATAAAATTTGTTTATTTAATTGGAACCGTAGTTGAACTATATTACGATATTTTATGTAATATATGCATGTGCATATTTGTTGAGTATATTAAAGGTAATATAAAATAATTAAAGGTTTTTCTTTATTTTCTAATACGATCTAATTTTATATTAGGCGTTAAACTAGCATAATTTTGGCCAGAATCAGTATAATCTCTTAACAAGCACGTACTTGTGCATATTCTATGAATGCTCTTATTCTTATATGTTTGACTCTAAACAACTCAAAAATAAGTCTTTTCAAATTATACCTAAACGAGTGCATTATTATGTTTGACTTCATTTATATTTATTAGTTATTTTGAAATCTTTCATTATAAATATTTACATGATTTTTTAAATATACATTAAAATTATTTAAATGCTGTAAAAGTCTAAGAAGATGTATATTCAATAATTAATTTCTATGCAAAATATTTAATGATTTGATTTATTTTACACAATACTTTCATTGTAGCAAATATTATATAACTATATTATAACAATCAGGTAGTTTGTAGTTTGTTTGTTGTTCGAAGTTTGTAACCGAATTCAGGATTGCCGCAATTGTCCAAAAGCGAACTAGTATTCAATCGGCAGGTGGCTCCGTGCAGTGAGATAAGTTGGCAACTGGGTTACGATACCCCACTTTCGAGTTTTCAGACAGTGGCCAACCCCCGTACTATTATTAAGAGTCCTGAAAGTGTGGCTTTTCTATGCACTTCGTTCGCGCTCAGTGCAAACAGTTCCGTCATTTTGTTCATATGTATCATCACAGAAACTAGAGCTACTGCAATTGCCGTTTCTTTAATTCCACTTCGAATAGTATTGCATAAAGATAAACAATTTTGTCTGACCGATTGCGGAATAAACTACTAGTTAAAGTGGTTTCGTCTTATCAGCTTCCAACATAACTACGCATAATGTTTCGACATTTGAAGGTTTAGTCTTGAAGACCCTACGCGAAAGTTTAGACAGTAATTTTTTTAAACTTTAATGATCCAGGTCAATAATCTTCGAAGTAACTGAGTCTAGCAGAATAGATAACTGAAGAGAATTTTTGAAACTGAAGAGAAAAAGAAGAAAAGAATTTTTTTCTGTTATTAATTTTTTTCATATTTTACATTCTTGCTTTGAGAACAACCGTACTTTTTGTGAGCTTTAATAACCGGAGTGATTTTGCTAAGAGTTTTTGTGAGTTCCCAACAATATAGATTTCAAGTCTTGCACAGTAAGTAATCGACTTTTTATGACATACTTAAATTTTGCAAGTCTGTATATCCACACAAAGTCACTCCATATTATATACTGCAAACTATATGAGTGAATTTTTAATAAGCACTAATTTATATTTTATTTTTTATTTATAACAATAATATTAAATCAGTTGTTATATTTCAATTAAATATATTATGTTCTATTTATTTCACCGTAATATGCTAAATTTTATACATCACTTGAATCGTTATATTTGCATAAATAGTAATATGAAAAGTAATCGATAATAATATAAAATTAAATTTAATTAAATCTATTCATATTTCATGTTATTTTTAAATACTACAATAAAAGTAAAATTTATGTATGATAATTGTATATAAATATAGTAATTAAAATATTTAGAAAGTTTTATCTATTTATAATTTTTCATATTAAAAAAAAAAATTATTTTGAATCATTCATTTATTAAATGCAATATTTTAATCATTATAAATGTACAAGTTTGTTAAATAAATAATTTACCTATTTTTATAAATAGTTTTAAATACTAATAGATGAAATTCATATATTTTTACAAAGCTATTTCTTAATTATTTTTATTATATTATTTGAGGCCATACCATCCGTCCTTATAATTATTTTTAAAAAATGTTCTAAATATTCATTAATTTGAATTCGATTATATTTATAACATAGAAAAGGTACGATAAATATTGTATAAAGAAAGTATTTAAAATTGTGCATAATTAATTTATTTCCTTATCGGAATAAGAAATACACTTAGTAAATTATCTAATATAATATAAACAAAAAAATTTAGAATAACAAACTATATTTATTAAATTGAAATATGTATGTATACTTCAAAAAACAAAAGATATTTCAGGATATTTTTTTTTAAATATTCATACATGAATTGGTTATAAATTTTATAGTATTTAAATACATTTCATATTAAATAACTTTTAATATTAAAATATTTTTTATTTAAATAGTAATATTTAAATAATATAAAATAATATAAAAAATAATATTGATTTTAATAGCTTTGTCTTGTATTTTAAATTTACGAATAAAAATAATATTTACGAATTTTGTAACTAATTATGATATATAATAAAGTATTTATAATAAAATATTTGAAAATGTTTTAAAAGTCTTCCTTCGTTAATTTTTAATTAAGGTAAGAAATCCATAAACTTAATTTTGCAAAATATTTTTTAAATTAAAAAGAATTTTTAGAATTGTTATGTTTTTAAGAGTTACATAAACCGCAAAACTATTAAAAATTGTATTCACGATGATTAAATTATATGATACTATACATTTTAAATATATATATTTAAGTATTTTATTAAATAAATTTTAAATTCTATTGTATGTCAAAGATTTTGTAGTCGATTGTGATGAACAAATTTTTTTGAAAATGGATTTAGTATTTTTCACTAAAATATATTGCATAATTTATTATAAAATCTCCGATAAAAAAATTGAGTACTGTTATTAATAAAGTTTTTGAATAGATTAATTTTTAATACATTCATACATTTTTTATGTATTGCATTTTCGACAGTATTTCAAAGTAAGTATAAATATTTTACCTTATAAATAATTATTATAAATAAATATAAGTATTATTACATTATTATTACATACGTAGTAAATTATTATTAATTATTATATTATATTCAGTTCAAATTAAAATTTCAGTTTAAAATATAGAATATTAATTATACAGAACATAAAATTAACTAGTACTTTTTTCATAACAATTTGAATACTGTATATGTGTCTATGTATACACATATCTATATTACACAATATTCTATAACATTTTATACTATATTTCAAATCGAATGGAATTTTTTAATAATACCTTATTAGTGTAAAAAAGTTGTTATTTTAATAGAATTATTGAATTCATATCACAATTGCAACAATTTTATAATGAAAGATATATTTTTTATTTATAATCAATTATTAATTATTTTTATTTTTAATCAATTACTTTTAAAAATTCATTGCTGCTACTTATACATTCTGCAAAACTTTATAAATTATTCGAATGTTACAAAGAATTAAATTCCTTCTAGTATACTCTGTATGGGCATATTCACATTTTATAATCAATTACTACAAAAGAACATGATATTTATTTGGTTTGTTTTGTCCGGCTTCCTCGACCTACTTTTTTCTTCGATTCTCTAAGTGAAATATAATACTTCTGAAGACGGCAACATAGATTCTCAAGTTAAAATAGCTGTCAATTTTATACTACCTTATTAAATCATTTCCTAAAATTGTTAGAGAATTTAATCAGTTTCAAGTAGCCTTGTTTAACTAAAAATAATAAAATTAATTCAATGCAATGTTTTTGTCTATTAGAAAATTTCAAAGGATAATGTTATCGATGTAATAATAAACAATTACATTAAAATCCATTAAATTCTTTTCTGACCATTATATATAAGATTGATTCCAGTCTAATGTGGCTCTCTTTGCATTAAAAAATTTTTATTATTGACTTCTCAGTATATTTATCTCAATATTCAGTGTAGCATCTAATTTACTGAATATAAATCGATAATAGATAATTAACATATTACTGTTGTTTCGTTTCGTTTTAATTGTTATAAAGGTAAAAATTAAATCTGATATATTTAATAAAAATTTTAAAAACAATATTAGTTAAAATAACCTTTTTGCTATAGTTGAGTTAATAATTGTTGAATACATAACTAAGTTCAGAATAAAATTTCCTTTGCTCATTTTATTTTATAAGTATAGTTCTTTTAGCGAAAACTGAAAATATATTAATGAAATATATTTCATTGCAATACTTTGCAATGTTATACTTACGTTCTATATTTTTAACGTTAAATATTGTGCATATTAGAAAAATTACCTAACATACCAGATGGTCTACTAATACTAAAACTTATGGAATTATTTTATGAGATTTTTTATTCTTAGTTTTTAGTCATCTGTTTGCTTTTATTTTAAGTGGATTTTTGCGCATATGAATATTATAGGTCAATATTGTATAATTAAAAAAAATTGATAGCACATGCCATAAATTATATACACTTCTAGAAAAGCGTTTCAAGAACGTCGGTAATTGAATACTACCCAATTAGAATATTACAAAATTTCCAACTATAAATATTATAATAACTTTACGTACGTGAACGCGTGTACACACACACATACACACACACACACATTCAGTTGTAGGAATATACTTCTTAAATAAATAAAATAGAATTTTTATTTAGTGTCTTCATTCTGAAAATCTTACATATCTCTTCAGTTATTCATTTATACATATTTTAATATATTTAATAAATGTACATTCTGTATTTTTAAGGGTATATTTTCATTTTCATTATATAAATATTTATCTTATTATTCAGATAAAATATCTATAATTAGATAGTTTGAAGGAAATAAATATGTTATAGAGTAATACATTTTATAATTCAATTACTTCTACTTGTTTGTCTCTAACTTAAAAATTTATAGTTTATGTTTAAATTGTTGAATTCCTCTATTCTAAAATATATTTTTTGGAGTAATACTAGAATATCAAAGGTTTTAAAATAGTAAATATTACACAATTTATAATAAATTTAAGAATTTTAAATAATATCAACATTACATACTATAAACATAAATTATAATTAAATTAGTAATTTAATTATTTACTAAATAATATATTTTTCTTCTATATTTAAAAAAATTTTATGTAGCAAGTTAAATAAATCTTATTAATTCAATTTTAAGCTAAAATATAGTAACTTATTCATTTCTTTGGAAATCAGTATTCATAAACATGTACATTTTATGGAGAGGTGAATTCAAGGATGTGCTAGTTATGTTAAGTATAAGAAAAGCATGAAATACATTTTGTTACTAAAACATGCAGTACCTATTGATTACTATCTGAATAATACACGGTGACACTTTTTCTACGATTCATTATTTCAATTATAATATTTAAATTTTAAAAAAAATTGTTAAAAATTTTACGAATTACCATATACTAAAATAGTTGTAAAAATAATTAATTTTGATGAGTTTAGGTATTTTCTGACAATAATTCTTTAATTTCGAGTACAAAAAATATATAATTTGAATATATTTTTTATTTTGTTTCAAATTTTTCTTACATTAAACTTATTAAAATACAATTAAATAAGCCATTTTCATTTATTTGATGAATATTAATATAATAATCGTCAGCTGTAATAATAGCATATGTCAAATAATTTACATCTATTCAATACTAATTAAGTACAAATTAAATAATATTATTTTTATGCTAAATATCTAATTAATATAGTAACGGGATACCCTCAATATATAACCACAATAAAAAAATGTAGATTAAATTAATTACGGTTTAATATGAAATATCAACCAATACTTGTTATATCTAATTTTTATATAAATGTTAATAAATTTAATAATCAAAAGTGCTTATTAAAAGTTTTAGTTTTAGTTTAATTAAATTCGAAATTGTGTAAAAATGTCAATGCCACAGAAATTTATATTTAAGGATTTCGAAATATATCAATACATAAATTGTATAAGAAAATATAAAATATTAATTTTATTTCAATTATTATTTTGTTTTAATATAAGCTAATATTATTCATGAATAATTAGCGGGAAACATCTACAAACAACAATTATAAACTTTTATACAATGTTACTCCTTGTGTTTTTAATTCATTTACTCGTTTCGATAAAATAATACTTTTCCAATTTAGTTAAAACATTTACATTATTTTATTTATTGTTTATATTCTTGAATAACAAAAATTGATAGTAATTTTAAAAAATATTTATTAAAAATATTAATGTAATATAATATTAATATGATATAAAAAAATATTAAGAATGTACTAATTATTTTGTAGTTATAAGTTAAATATTGGACCTATTCATCAGAATATGTTAAATATTATTAGTAAATTATATTTATTTTTAATTAAACAGTTAATATTT